ATATATATATATATATATATATATATATATATATATATATATATATATATATGGTGGACACTCTCCCTCACTGAAAGACACACAAGGAACCGAAACAGACCTAAAGTCAACTCATTCCATATATCGAGCAATTACATAAAAAATATCATTGAATTCCCGTTCTGGCAAATCACAAGCACTCGGTATGTCCTACATTGTAGCACAAGTCATGCTAAAATTCATGAAAAAAATCGGCATGACCTTTGCTAAAGACAAGACATATCAAGCGCCTGAAATTTGCCAGAACGGAAACGAATCAACATTCCAGCAAAACATAGGCCATTCGGAGGTACATTGAAAACAAGAACACCAAGACATCCTCTATATTCAGAATGCATCAACATCGACATTAATGACTCGACGACTAGCACTAGCATTTTCATCATCGACATTTACAACACATTATCATTTGGCTATTCTCACCTAGAGGTCTTAAGGGGTCGACGATGGGGACGACTGCGGGGATGAGGTAGGGGCAAATACTTTATTTCTGCATAAACAAAAAATATATAAAAAATATATTAACTACTTACTATAAATAAACTAGCTAGTTCTATTAAGCACTTACCATAAATAAACTAGTTCAATTAAGCACTTACTATAAATAAACTAGTTCTATTAAGCACTTACTATAAATAAACTAGTTATATTAACCACTTACTAAATAAACTATTTCTGTTAAACACTTGCTAAAAATTAAACATTGTTAACCTAGCCAACCATACCCCTATGCTCTAAACCCTACTGCCCTAGTTAAACCTACTTCCGTAACTAAATGTTTTCTCTAAACTAAATTTTTGCTCTAGCCTAGCTAACCTAGTTAACCTAGCTGGTTAACCTAATGAACCTAGCTAGTTAACCTAGATAATTAACCAAATTTAACTAGTTAACCTAGCTAGACAACCTAGTTAACCTAGCTAGTTAGGGAGGTATGAGGAGGAGGAGGAGGAGGAGGGAGGAGTGAGGGGCAGTGGGAAGAGGGAGGAGAGAGGAGGAGGGCAGTGGGAGAAGGGAAGAGGGCGACCGAAGGCGGAGGGAGGAGTGAGGAGGGCGCAGCCGGAGGAGGAGGAGGAAGTGGCCGGAGGAGGAGGAGGAGGGCGCGACCGGAGGAGGAGAGAGGAGGGCGGTGGAAGGAGGAGGGAGGAGGGGGCACACCAAGGAGGAGGACGGCGGCGACAATGCGTTGGCTATGGCGACGAGGATGGAGAGGGAGCGTGAGAAGAGTAGATGAGAGGGAGAGTGAGAGGGTCGGCCGCGCGGGGAAGACGATAAGTTAGGGTTAGTAGCAGTGCGGGTTGGGGACAAGCGCTACTACTACAGAGCATAGCAGTAGCGTTGGACAACGATCAGCGCTGCTGCTAAGTGGGGCTAGCCATGTGCACCCAGTTCAAGCTTAGCATCAGCGTGTGTTAGCAAAACGCGCTACTGCTAAGAGGATAGTAGTAGCGCCTTTTCCTGCCACACGCTACTACTAAGTAGCAGTAACGCATCATTTTATCCAGCGCTACTGCTAAGATTTTGTGTATAAGATTTTCCCTAGTAGTGCTTGGCCACAACAGTGAGAAACATGACTTTACAAATGCTATTCTTATTTTGCATGGTGCACACGGGTTAGGTTCTTCTGGTAGTAAATAATAGGTGTTCATCTCTCTTGTCATATCATACCACTTCTCATCGACATAGACCATGTATGTCATTGTCTTGAAAAGAGGATGGGGAATTGAGATCTAATGCTCATCGAGCATGGAGATGCAAAACTTTAATCTTTCAATTTTATTATCTGTCTTGAGGAAAGGTTTCACGGTACTAGTGATGCGCTTCATCTCACCCAACTGGAATCTCCCGTGTAGGGTCGAGTGGGGAACACCCAGAGACCTTGCTAGAGCTCGAACTTCTCTCCTTTTGTTGAGTAGGACTGTCGATATCCTTGACAAATCCAGATCTTTCCTCTTTCATCCACTTCTACCCTTCTTTCTATTTGAGGCATCTGCTTCTTGGCCTTCTACAAGCTATTGAGTTGCTTCTAACCATATTCTTTGAATAATGCATACACTTGTATTCAACAGGCTTGCAACGAGCTGCTTGTCCTCTGGGAAAATATCTCCCTGTCTGTTCTTGATTACTCTCAAAGCAAAATAAACACCAAACCTTTGCTCATTAGACAGGTTTACTGCATTTCTTCTTATTGCTTCCCCTTGACCAACTACTTCCTCCTGATGAATCTTCTTGATGATCTCTTGGAGGACTGAAGTTGAGATCCTAGAACATCTCCTCTCTTGTTAAAAAGGAGCAAGAAGTCAACTAGCTATTACAACTAGTACTAGATCATGAAAATGAAAATGCAAACTTTGTCAAACACTTAAAATACTTAAGACTTTGAAATTTCGATTTGATGCATGAGAACATTGATGAATTTAAATGTTCTACTCCTGAAAAATGAATATTCCCTATACTACATGTTTAGCTGAATTTGACTAAATACAAGATCATTTAGGAGTACAAGAACATTTTTAATTGAATTTGTTTATAATTTTGTTTAAGAATAAAAGTGGCAATGTTTGATTAGCAAGTTTCCTGATTAGGCTATTATGGAAGTATCTTAATATGGTCCAAAACATGAGAAAGAAAAGGGAGAAAACTTAGGAAATTCACAAAATATGTTTTGAAGTGAAACCCCTAAAAGCTCAAATTCCTTTGTTTGTTTAGGGCTTTGGTGATATATGCTACACTGTTGAAGTATGCATGTATAAACCAGTTTTATCCCATCACACATGCATTGTAATTATTGGACGTGTATGCATGCCTAAGCTTCCAACCGTAAAATCATTGACTCACATTCAACATGACATGTTTGATTAGCAAGATATGAAAATGGCAATGAATTTAGGAGTACATAAACATTTTTAATTGATTTATTTTCAGAATTCATCATGCATTCCAACCAAAAATTCAGTTTGCAAACTTAATTAAATTGACCGAGTTGCCGACAAACTATACATTGGATTCGCTAGACTGAATTTGACAATACTGAATTCAGTGTCAAGTGACAACAACACTTGACAGAACTTATGGAAACTAAGTGTTTAACAAAAACATTTGAATTCAGTGTCAATTGTTTAAATCCACTTTGTAGCAGTGAATAAAAAATGAAAAGTGTCTAATTTAGTGTCAAGTGTCTAAATAGCAAGTGTCAACTGCACTTGACATATGAATTCAGTTTGTAGCAACACTTGACTCAATTTAGTTGTAGCAATGCTTCATTTGTAAAACACCGAGTCAAGTTAAATTCAGTGGCAATCCTTTTCTTAGTTTTGGATTAAAATTATGTTATATTTAGTGGCAAGTCAAATTCTAAAGTAAAATACGGTTTCAAGAATTCTTGAGTTAAATTTTGTGCACATAATTTTTTCCATGGCAACCTGGTCATCTTCATGATTTTGCTGATCCTCCTCCTCCTACAAAGGAGTCAAATTCAAATCGGGCATCTCTTCGAGCTGCAGCTTGGGGGTAGAGGCTCGCGCTCAAGAGGAGGAGCAGTGCCCAGGCAGAGGAGCTAGAGCGCACCGGAGCTGATGTGTGCCAAGGCAGAAGGAGCTGGAGCGCGCCCATGCAGAGGAGGAGCGCGACTAAGCAATAGATTTACTGTGAGGGCGTGTTGGAGGAGTTATGGTGCCCGTTGGGAGGGCGCCCTGAGTTGTGGGGAGGAGCCCGAGCTCGTTGGGAGGGCGTCACCTTGAGCCGCGTGAATGCTGCAGGGATGAGCCCGAGATGGGGGATGTGCAATCAGATTGAGATTTGAAATTAAAAGGGCTTGATTATAAAATTCATGTTTGGTATGTTGTCCCCTTACGACAGATATTTCAAGACCGAGGGAGTACGATGGATCAAGAATATGTTTTGTCGCTGGTTCTCTTGATCCTATCTTTCTTGCAGTGCGAGGCGGCAGCACAATGCCGCACGAAAGCCTTTACCTTTTCCAGCTTACGTGCTTCCCCGGCCTCCATCATGCTCACCAAAGACAAGCTCCGCCTCGACAGTCTACTCTACGTGTTGGTGAGATCTGGCCTCCCAGCCACCAAAGTGGACAGCACCACTAATGCCTCATAAGGGTTTAAATTCCTAGCTTTTGTAATTGTAGTATGTTTTTGGATAGTATTTTTTATTTATTTTATGTTTTAGGAGATTTTTAGGATGGTACATTTGTGGAATTGTGACACTTTCAGTTTAGAGCAACTCTAGTAGATCCTGCAAAAACGTGTCATCTGAAAATATTATACAGCTACCGCAAGGTACCGCGTAGAGCAGATCCCGTAAACCCGTAATGTAAAAGTCTTTTTCCTCCTTTTTCTCCTCACGCTTCTTCTTCCTTGGAACACACGCATGGTCAAACTCGAACTCCAGCCGGCCAGAACGGTGCCGCTCCGGCCTGTTGCCTGCTCCGGTCCGCTGCTTGCTCCAGCGACACTCCGGCGCCGCTATGGCCCGCCACGTGCTCCGGCAATGCTCCGGTCAGCCGCTATCGAGCTCCTCCGCCTGCTCGCTGCTCGCGTGCGGTGTCGTCAGGACCCTGCTCCGACCGGCCGCTACCGAGCTCCTCTGCCTGCTCGCTGCTCATGTGCGGTGTCGCCAGCCCCCTGCTCCGGCGTTGACCGCTTTACAGGTTCCCTCAAGAACGACTCGAAAACTCGAAATATGAGGCATGGTTGCTCCAATATACGAAATCTGTAAAAGAAAATACGGGATCTGCCATTTAGAGGATCTATTCGGTGCGTTTTGTGCAAATTTAAAGGTTTGACTTGCTCTTAGCCCAGTGTACTACAAACGTATAGACGGCCCATTCGCCAAAAAAGAAGTGCCAGTCCCGTGGGTTTCAATCCCCTCCCCGGCCCATTCGCCATCACTCCCCCATCCCCTCCCCCGTGCTCGACGGCGCCGCCGGAGCTTTCTTCTGCCGCCGCGCCATGTCCACCCCAGCTGCTCGATCTCGCCCCTCGGAGGACGGACGGATCAGGTACGTAGAGTATGCATCGCCATGAATCATCGCGACCTTCCTCTCCCTTCTTCACCCGATCCCCTAACCTTATTCCCCATCGTTATGTGTGCAGGTCCTCCTCTTCGCCTCCCAGCGGCAGCGAGACGGCGGCCGAGAGACTCACCGACGACCTCCTCGTCGAGATCCTCTCGCGCGTGCCCGCCAAGTCGCTCTGCCGCCGGAAGCTCCCCCAAGCACTGGCTCGGCCTCACCAACGACCCCAACTACCGCCGGAAGCTCCCCCGGACCCTGACCGGCTTCTACCAGGGGAATCAATTGGTAGATTCAGGTGTTCCTTTCACCAATGTCTCGGGGAGCCGCCATCTCACACATCCCACCTTCCTGCCCAACCGCCGGCAGGTCAAGGTCATGGACTGCTGTAACGGCATCCTTCTCTGCTCCTCATACGTTGCTGGCGACCATGGCGACGAGTTCCGGTACATCGTGTGCAATCCCGCCACAGAGGAATGGGCCGAGTTCCCGTAATGCGGCTATTCCGGCCTGTCGGCTGCTGAACGCTTGTGTTTTGATTCAGCCGTGTCCCCTCATTTCCATGTGTTTTTGTTGCCGGTGGCCGATATGGAGGACCAACATAGCTACTGTCTTACTGGAGTGCATGTCTATTCATCTGAAACCGGGAGTTGGGTTCATAAGGAGAAGAGATGGTGCGGCACCATTGATGTCGCTAATGACCGGTCAACTGTTTATCTTAATGGTTTTCTGCATTTCTGTGCCATTGTTGATGGTTCTGCCAGTCGTCTAGCTGCAGTGGACAAGGAGGGGAAAGCAAGGACTAACTTCCGTGTTCCTGATGGTCTGGATGTTGGTTTTATTCAGCTGTCACAGGGCTGCCTGCATTATGCTGGTTTTAACACAGATGATGATGATGATGTTCGACTGCTTGTTTATGTTCTTAAAGACTATGACCACAAAGAATGGATACTGAAGCATAGCGTCGAAACTTCGCATTTGCTTGGAGGGCGACACGTAGACCTTGATGAGGACTTCGATTGGATTGCAATTCATCCAGAATGTGACATGATCTTGTTTGCTGTGGCCCAGGAGGATATCACATTCATGTGCTATGATATGGATAGTGGACAAGTTAAAGTGATGTGCAATCTTGAAGATAGCAACCAGGCATATTTTCCGTATGTGCCACTATATGAAGAGTTACAATCATTGCACAAGTGATGTCTTATTCGTGCTATGGAGCAGTGGGCATGGTATGTCTGCTTGAATTTGGTCCTCTTTTCTCTGATGTATTTAAGTTTGGAGCAATGCTGGTTCGTTCTGGGGGCACTGCTGCTGATTTCTCTCTCGGATTAGTTATTCAAAGTTTCAATGCACCTTCTGTTGTGTGTACTTGTTTTGTCTTGATAGACCAATGGTTCTGGACAACGGGAGATTGTGATACACCTTGGATGATTACATTATCACTTCTTTTGGTGCTATGTTTGTCCTGGCTTTTAAGTAGGTTATTTTATCAGCAGAAAATCACAGCCACAATGATGCTGTTGATAGGAAATGTTATAATGTTCATCCTGCCATTAGATAACTTTTGACACAAAATTGCTTCAGAAGACTAGAAAGACATCCTCTTTATTTATGGGTTTTGTTCGCATAGGTAGGTTTAAAGAGTTTAAAATAAGCGACACTGGGCACTTGCCATGTTAGTCTTGCCTATAATGGTGCACATACACTCCAGTCCAACACAATTTTGCTGTGTTAATAAGAGGTAATTTGACTTACCACTGAAGGGTTTGCCTAGCGGGACTATGTTCAACTCTTTCGGATGATTGATGCTGAGAAGGCCATTATTGAAACTAATTTCTTTAGCTGGTCAACCTATGTATGGCTAGTATTTCGAGCAGAGCTGCAATCTTGTTCTTATGCACATTCAGGAGCTTAATAGGGTCTTTTCTTTTTTTAATTTAGTTCATGTAAAACAAAAAGGCAATGTGGCAGCCCACCAAACCGCTAAATAATCTTTTCATACTGGTCCTTTGTGTGTCCTGATCTCCCAGGTCCTGGTCTTCCTTGGACCCTGTATTCAGCAAGATTGTAACCTTGCCAACTTATCCACATAAACTTGGTTCTAGAAAATGAGGAAATAAGATTGCACGGGATCGAAAGCTAATTTCAGACATTGTTCTGTTGAAAGTAAGAGCAAATCAAAGCTACTGCTGTAATAGGATTGTATCAGGTTGCTGCGCTAATGATATGTGTTCCGTACTTTTCAGTTGTCAGCTAGCCCAAGTAAAGCAATTGGTACGGTTAGAGAACTAATGGTGAAACGTTACTTGCAATACAAGTTCTTTCTGTTATCAACTCATATAGTCCATGGTTATGAATAGGTTGACATTGAAGAAGAAAAGAAGCACATAGATGTACATAGTTTCTCTGATCCAAATTCTGGTCAACAAAACAAACAATTTTAGATCTAGAAACCCAACTGGTTTCAGTTTGAGAAAAGGAATTTGAAATGACTATAGATATTGTTCCAAAATATTGCAACCTCACCCTACTTTTGTATGCATGTTGTCAGTGGTGCTCAAACCTAATAGGGGCCCCCTGCTGTTTTGTTATGTTGCGTCTGGTCCATGCTAAGGGGTATTTTTTGATATATTACTGTATATCTTTTCTTTGGAGTTTATGAATAAATCAAATAGCACACGCGCCACCCATATCAACATGAATTAGTGACCCATGTCTTTGTTAAACTAGATGATACCCCGCACGTTGTTGCGGGAATATTTTGCAACATATTTCAATGTGATTCGTTGGATGAAACATGAATATTTGAAGTAATAATATAAAAGGTTAAAACTGAAAATACCTATAATTTATTTGTTTGAGTACTATATAGTTGTAAAATGTTTATTAAACTAGACGATTCCCCGCATGTTGCTACTGGATTTCTAAAGGACATCTTGAGATATTGTAGTATTATGTACGAAGAAAATTAAAATCCAGCACTATATGAAAAATATACAACAATGACACAATAGTTGAGATACATATACGTCTCATATTCATTGGATATCACTTGAAAGTAGTATCGCCTAAGACACCATGAAAGTAATACGCTACGTACCTTTACATCAAAGGTCACTGAGGCTCAAATAAAAATATAGTACTCAAACAAAATTGTTAAGTTTGTAGCTTAAATAAATAAATATTACTGATCGAATGGCTACATAACACGGTTATTCTGGATAACAATGTGTATAAAATTGATAAATGGGTAGCATGTAATGGATAGAGGGAGAAATAATAGATTATATGTTTTTTTTGTACATGGACAGATGAACTGGTTGAGAGTTCAGAAGTTACAACATAGTTTGCAGATAAGTAGAAGAAAGTGGTAGTACTGAAAAAGGAATAACAATAGTCTGTGCAGATATGTAGAAGAAAGTGGTAGTACTGAAAAAGGAATAACAATAGTCTGGTCCGATGTAGCTGCGGGAAAGGATCACGCGCGTGAAAAAGCACCCGTGCGCGTGCTAGTTTTGGCGCAGCGCCCGCCACGAGCCCTCCCACCGTTGTCCGCCTCGCCACGCGCTGATAGGAACCGGGTCCCTACCAGGACGAGTTCTCATATTATAGGGGTGGAAGGAGGGTTGGCGCGACGGATGACGCGACCGACGACGTTGGGGCGCCGTGATCGCGAGAGAGGGAGAGGGCGCAGGGTGCGGCTAGGGTTAGGTTTCCCGGCTCCTTATGGAAGCCGAGCAAATATGATTGCTTCTGCTTAACTCCAAAACGAGTCTTTACATGAGTTTATATAATCCTCGAAATAAGATAATTGGGCTAAGCCCCTAAAACGATAAGATAACTTGGGCTAGGCCCCTAATTGCCTGCACCAGTGGGCCTCCTCCTGCTAAACTGTAGGCCGGTCATAACATCTCTCCCTGCCTGCCTAAACAGCTCGTCCTCGAGCTGAAAGTCTGGAAAGTGCTTGCCAAACTCGTCGAGGAGCTCCCAAGTGGCCTCCTCAAGAAGGCCTTGCCAGTGGATCAACAAGCGCCAAACACCGCGACTCTGCTGGGCTTTCAACACCTTCGCTGGACCGGGAAGTAGACGACCCTCGGGGATCAGAGGGAGATCCGGCGTAGCCGTTGGTGGCTCGCCGTGGAAAGGCTTCAACAAGCCCACATGGAAGACGTCGTGGATGCGAGCACCAGATGGCAGCTGAAGGCGGTAGGTGACGTTGTTGCTGCGCTCCAGCGCCGGAAATGGCCCCGCATAGCGAGGACCTAGTTTGCGCTTAGCGCGTGGGTCCAGTAACTCCGTAGTGCTGCGGAGTAGACACATCTACACCAAGTCTCCCACTGCATACTCCGCCTCGTGGTGATGTGCGTCGTAGTACTTCTTGGACAGCTGCTGGACCTGGAGAAGACGCTGGTGCACCTCGGCAAGGATCTCATCCCAGCTGCGGAGAAGCTCGGCCGCCGCCTCAGTCTGGGCAGTCTCTGGCTGAAATGGCAGGATGGGTGGCGGAGGGTGACCATAGACCACCTCGAAGGGCATGGACCACAGGGCGGAGTGGTAGGAGGTGCTGTAGCAGTACTCCGCCCAAGAGAGCTAGTCCACCCAAGCCCATGGCCGATCACCTCTAACACAACTTAAGTACATAGCACTCACCTTATTGACCATCTCGGACTAGCTGTCCGTCTGGGGGTGGAATGCCGTACTGAGGCGCAGCTTCACGCCCGCCATCCGGAAAAGATCGCGCCATACATGGTTAGTGAACACCGGATCACAGTTGCTGACGATCGAAGAGGGGAACCCGTGGAGGCGGACGATGTCGTCGAAGAAGGCCCGCGCGAAGGAGGTGGCAGTGTAGGGATGGCCGAGCATGATGAAGTGTGCATACTTGGAGAAGCGCTCGACCACCGTAAGGATGACGGACTTGCCGCCGATCTTAGGAAGGCCCTTGATGAAGTCCATGGAGATGTCAGCCCAGATCTGAGGTGGCACCTCAAGGGGCTGTAACAGTCCCGCCGGCTGCAGTGTCTCCGTCTTGTTGCGCTAACACGTCACACAAGACCGCACCTAGTCTCGTACTAGCGCGCGGTCGCCGGGGATGTAGAAATCTTCCCGGATATGATGAAGGGTCTTCTGCACCCCCTCGTGGCCGGCCGAGTGATACAGCAACAGGGCCAGGTGGTGGAGGTCGCCGTGATCCAACACGAAGAGCCGACGCCCGTGCAGAAGCAAGCCGTCGTCCAGGCGCCACGGTTCGTCCAGGTCGCCATTCACGAGGCGTTGATGAAGGAGCTGTGCGTCCAGGGAGCTCGTGATGACACGGCAGATGTCGTCGATGAAGGCAAAGGAGGGCCCCGAGCGGATGCAGAGCACCGTCCCCGCGGTGTCGACAGCGTCCGAGTCGGGGTCGGCGTCATGGCGGGACAACGCGCCTGCCACGGTGATGAGGCGACCCGGGCGATACATGATAGTAAAGTTGAAGCCGAACAACTTGCTGATCCATTAATGCCGCGACACGGTGGAGAGGCGCTGGTCCAACGAGAACTTGAGGTTGTAGTGATCCGTGTGAACACGGAACGGTCGCCCCCATAGATATGGTCGCCAATGGCGCACAACTTGTACCAAGCCGATGAGCTCTCTCTCATAGGCCGCGAGCTTGTGATGACTCGCGGCAAAAGGCTTGCTGAAGAAGGCGAGCGGCCCGTCGCCCTGATGAAGGACGGCGCCAAACCCCACGCCCGAGACGTCGCAGTCCACCAAGAACAGCTTGTCGAAGTCAGGCATCTGGAGGACCGGCTCCGTAGTGAGAGCCTTCTTGAGGGTCTGAAACGCCTCGGTTGCCTCAGTATCCCAGGAGAAGGCATCGCGGCGCAACATGCACGTGAGCGGAGCTGCGATGAGGCCGGACTGTCGGATGAACTTCCGGTAGTAGCCCGCGAGGCCCAGGAAACCGCGAAGGGCCCGCGGCGAGTTCGGCGTCGGCCAAGCCGCGACAGCTGCCACCTTGTCGGCATCCATTGTGACACCCTCCGCCGAGATGACGTGGCCGAGGTAGGCAACCGATGTCGTGTCGAACGAGCCCTTCGAGCGATTGAGGTGCAGATGGTGCGCTCGAAGCTCGTTAAAGATGATGCCCATGTGCTATAGGTGCTCCACCCACAATGAGCTGTAGATAAGAATGTCATCAAAGAAAACGTGCACAA